AGTTCTTCAAACACAATTATTACATGATGAGTGAAGTTGCAAAAACAATATTTGTTTAGGCGTTATAATAGTTATTCAACAGCAATTACTTCATTTTTCTAATAAAAGTTTATTTCTAAATGCTAATTACAATGACAAACCGATCATGTAATATTTGAAGTATGACTCTAATTACATTATATTTTCATTGCTATTATAAATAAATAATTTATAATTTATCATTATATAAATTGTATAATGGTTGACACAAATTGATGTGTGCATCACGAGTGTTATCATATTACAAATGAACATTATTCAAAATTGTTATTCTGTGACCGATTAAGGTTGATAGCCCCCTTCCTTGGGGATTGCAATGATTTCCAAATACTATTAGTAGTCTAAATAGTAGAAGGTCTAATTCCACTTTGGGTAATTATATTGTGAAAACCAAACCAATTACATCACAACTATGTTGCAGGCTATGTTTAGTGAAACTTCTAGCTAATTCATCGTTGTAGAGATGTAATTTTTGGTTTTTCAAAAATTTGTCACCTGGATTTTTTTAGCCCATAGGTGGTGGCCTTCATTATTTTTAATTTTAAAGGAATTGTTACATTATTCAACAAATGCAAAACATGAATTTCAGGAGCACATTTGATCTGGTATTTTTTCAGAAATATTTATCAGCAAAGTCAGAATAGCTTATTATTCAACATATCTTGTAAAATTTATTTTTTCAACTAAATTTTCTTTTTCATTCGCTATTTTTATTATTCACACCTTTGCAAGTAAAGGTTTAGGTGGTTCTTTTTACCTCACCTACATGTGAGTTTTTATATAGGTTATATAGAAAAAAAAGGCTGAATCTAGCTTGAAAATAGCAGTATATTTTAAAAAACCATTCAAATATCAATACCTAGGAATCATAAATAACAATGCTGACAACCAAAAAAATAACAAGGAAAACAAAACTTTTGTTATGGATTTTCAAACGTTATTGTTTATCTCCCGATAGCAACGTCTTAATAATCAAGATGATGATTGGTTATAACGTCTTTTCAAATATCATTGTTAAAGAATTCTTAATTTTACTTGTTTTTGAGATATCGGCATTGGACCTTTTTACCCGCGGACCTTTAAGCCGCACTCTACTCTAAATAAAAAGTGTGTGTTCAACATAATAAAGTATTTTTGTTTGAGCAATCATTTATTCGTAATAAATGTATTTAATATTCAAAGTAAAGCGCATAAAATTTCACTTTATTTTCATGATATATCATTTAAAATTTATTTTATAAATCACTGTTGAAAAACCGCGAAATTTATTATCTCGAGCAGAACATTATTCACTCAAATGAACAACTGTGTTACTTCTCTCGTTTTTTAACAAGCTAGAGCTGAAGTTTCACAAATGCACTTTTTCCATCGTAATTATAATTTATTCATAGAGTGTTCTTCTTGTGTGTGCATAACTTTTTAACGCTTTTGCGTTCAAAAAACTACGAGAACTATGATCTGTCCTTCAGCTTTTATATTGCAGTTTGATAATTAACTCTACTAGTGTTGTTATATAATTAATAAACGTAGAAATTTAATTTGCATAAAATTTTCCTGAGAATTGAATTCCTGAGAAGAGTGAATTATTAGAAGAATTCTGTAGTTTATTAGTTTATTATATAAAATTGCGAGAATTGATCTAATAGCTTTATTTTAATTAAAATTTAATATTTTTCTGAGAATTGTTTTCTTTAAACTAGTAAAATATTCAAAAAAATAGAATATACACAATATTTCTGCTTTTTTTGGAGAAATTTGCATACAAATTAACAATTGCATGATATTATAGAATAGAGATTTCAATTACAAATCAATCATTTTCTAATTTTTTTATATTGCAGTTTGATAATTAACTCTTCTAGAGCTGTTTTATAATTAATAATCGTAAAAATTTCTTGTATGTACATAGAATTTTTCTGAGAATTGGATTGAATCATATGCCAACATATATAACTGTTGTCATATTATAGAATTATGTATAACAATTTCAAATCTCATTCCAGAAATTCTTTCACAAATATATGACAAATATTATCCCTTTTCCGAATGGTTTTTCAATAGCATTGAATGAAGCTTGTACGAACAGTTAAAACTTTTAAATTGTAAAAGTTTTGCTAAAACGTAGTGAGCATATTTTCTTATCATGTTTGCAATTTAGTACACCAATTTTATTTTGAGTATTAACAGATTAGTGGAAATAAAAAGATGACCGTAATACCATACTCATATTTGAGCTTTTTCCATTTTTGAGTTTGAATAAATAAAAAAATACCTATCGTCTATATAGGAAAATAGATTTGTATCTGTAATCATTTCATCCGTGTCAGTTAGCATAAATTTAGGTGCGATATCGACAGTTAATAGAAACTCGAAAACAATAATTTTGAAACACGCATTCCAAAATAATCCTGATCGTATGGGAGCTGAAATACTGAAATTATACATTTATACATTTCCAATAATGCCGAAGTGTCGTCATGACAAGCTCGAATTATCAGTGCACCTCGCAGCTTAATTCGAAATACGATAGAACATTCGTAAGAGAATTGGTAACTAACTCGTACCGGGTTCACTAATTGAAATGCGTATGGGAAATGCGAAATGTTGGTATTAAACACTATCGCATCCAGGCTGAGAGCTTAAGCTCTTTAATTTGCTGATGCACATTGTCTACTCGTCTGATTGAGTAGCTATGTACAATTTAATATAAATGTCCTCCAAACGAGAAACATGGCGATTATGCAGTTTCAACTATGCAGTTTCCGGCACAACGAATTTCGAAGTTTTTGTTGTAAATAAGTTTATAACAATAGCGGTTTTTCCTTCACGAACAAGTGTTAAGATTAGACTAATGAATCTAAATTGTTATTTGAAAATTGCTTAAAACTAATTCGGTAGTAATTAGATAATCAACCTGCTTTAGGGTAGAGCAGGGCTTGAAGGTCCGGGTTCGGCATAGGTTCTGATTAGAATTGCTTGAGTGCTTCACGAAATTTAAAATTTTGATGAATTTTTATAATTTAGCCACTCATCGTAGGTCCATAATATTTAAGTATGTTATTTCAGTACATGAAAGTTATAGTTTCATCAAAAGGTTTCATCAAAATCGTCAAAAAATGTCAACATTTAATTACACAGAAACGGCTCGGCCAAAATTCACTAAATAAAATAAAAACTAATCAACTCAATTCCCAAACAATTCTTTTTAACAGTTATTGATTTTTCAAAATCGATTCTAAATTGTGAGCTAAAACGTGGACAAAAAATTTTACACTTTTTTGCTAATAACAAATATACGTCTATGACGATCATGGCACAAAATCTAACTAATGAAATTATAACAAATTAAAACCAATTCTAAGATCTAAGTGCTTTTAATGCTAGTCGTTATTGAGTTACATTAAATGGCTTTCAAATTTTTAAAATCGGTCCAGCCGTTTATTGGGAAACATGGACGAAAGATAAAAAAGCGGCTTACACCACATACATACACATACTTTTCTAAATTTGGTTCCATTCGAATCAGAATGACTTGAAACATCGCGAAAACATGAAACTTTTCTTACTTCTCCTTTTCGAAGTTTATAATAATGGCTGTTTTTTCATTAATTTCTATGACAAATAAATCAATAATTTGGTTTTAACCATAATTATTGATATAATATTTAATAATTGGTTATTTATAGCATTTATTGGATTTAACCTTCATCAATATTCATAAGAAGTTAAAAACAATAAATCTTACTGAAAAATTTTGGCTTTATGTAAAGAACACGTTTCAGTATTGTATTCTGTTGTTTTATGTGTTTTTGTTCTAAATCATTATAATAATCTTGTTTAAGCTTTAATAAAGCTTATAATAAAATAATACGTATGTAGTTTTTGATTAAAGCGACTTTTTTACCTTAGCACATTCATAGAATATTTTCAGAACCGCTACAATAATTTAATATAAAATATGTAATGACTAATTTAGCCAAAAATAAAATCCTTTTCGAAAAATAAATACAATAATAAAGCTGAATCATAATATTATTTATCACGTGGTATAAAGATGATTGTAGTAAAATATTGTATCTAATTTAATATTCCATTTTATAAAAAGCTAATATTGTTGTTTTATTACGTTAGTTTTGTTTTGCCACAATTAGTTTTGTACGAATTTGTATCAGTATCCAATTATGTTAATTTTATAAACATGATTGTAAAATTAACAATTATTATTAAGGTATTTAATGAAATTACTACTTGTTTCTCATGTAATGAATATTTACCACATATCCACTATAATAAACTAAATAGACATTTCTAACTCAATATAAACATAAATTACGAAATAATATATTATTAATTGATTAAATAACTTATAACTATACTTAATGAGAATAAATTCATATAAATTACCTTGATTTTTTAGTATTCAGCACCTGTGTCCTGGAAAAGTCTGGAGATATACCTGAAATAATACCTGTGTGTTATTTAACTAGTATAAAAATACTACATTTGTAATAAATAATTAGTGAATTAACTCACTAACTTATTATATTCATAATGTTCAGTTTGAGTCTTACGAAATCAATTGTTATAGATACAAAAAATACTATATGTAGAAAAAATAATAATCATCCCATATATCTCCCTAGGGAACCTGCGCATATACTCATTGTGATGGGTCAATATCGTCATATATATAATATTTGACTAGGAACTGTTATACCCGAATTCGCTATGGTAAAATTTCCATTTACGTAATCCTAACTAAAATATTTCGGAGCGAATACCTTTCGAATAGCTAAATATGCCATCAATTCCAAATTCAAAATGGCATAAGGTTGAATTGGTATCCCACATTGATGCTAAAATTGGATACCTACATCAGGGGCAGTATTAGTAACTTACCTCATTTGAATCCCTGAGCACCGAAATAGATATGTCATCGAATTAACTTTGGAAAATAAGACATGGAAAACATCTTTCCCGCAGGTATAAATTTAAAAGTTTTCTCAGAAATGCTTTGCAAAAAAACAAGTCGTACGTTTACATTTTCGTGGACGACATAAAATATCGTATATTATTCGTGACAAATATTTCGCAGAATCAGTGCCGCCTCGCAACAGTGATCAGAAAAAAACGTTAAGTTTGTGATCATAATTGGCATTTACTCTTAATGATATTTTTTTCGCATTAATTTTCTTCGATGTCAAAGCATTTTTTCATTAAATATTCAAAATAAAATGTAGATATTCGTTAAATAAAGAAATAACATCAAAGTTATGAGCGCTCCCTTCATTTACATTCGTAATTTGTATGGAATTCAAATCATTAGTCTTCCGGGTCATCGATCACAGCCTTTCATTACTATTCATTAGGAGATATTCGAACGGAGATAATAAGTTTTTTTTTAAATATTCCTTTCTGTCATTTTGACGATGGTAATAATTATTGAAATTCATTTTTTGTTCTCTCACGTAAAAAGTATATACATAAAATATTTGATCAATGCATAGAATACTTTCATGTATTATATATTTTGGATAAATACAAATTTATAATATATAGATAAGTGCCTTCATTTCTTAAAATTATACTTTATTTTAGTATGTATATTATCAAATCTTTTTCAAAGTTTTGATTATCAGGACTCTATCATTCTATATCTTTATAACATCACAGAAGCTAAAAAAATAATTAATTTATAATATTTTTTAAATGTGATATAATAAATTAGATAATTAGAAGCTAAAGATGACAGTTTAGTATTAAAATTCGATTAACTAAGAAACTTGATATATTATTCCTTAGTTTATTTTCTTTTTTCTTTTTTTAAATTGTAATATATGTAATGCTTTAGTAAAATTATGTTGTCCAATTGACATAAACTTGATTATTTTTTGTACTCAAATGCATCAGATTCAGAATCAGAATTATTATGATATGATATTGTTGGAACCTCGTGTACTACCGTAATAAAATATTCGAAGAATATAAAATGTTTTTAAATATATTTATTATAAGAGCTTAAACTTTCATTATTCGTATTTTACAGACAAAATATAAGAGCTCATGAATTGCATGATGACTTTTGATATAAGTTTACTGAAAAATAGAACTTAATGAAGGGTAGTATCTAAAATTATATATTTTGAGTATATAAATTTGCTTCAGAATTTCAGCTAGAATTAAAATTATTTTCGATATCCAAATAAAAGTTTTGTTATAATTTTTTGGTTTGTTTTTGCTTTCGCCAAAATTAATCGTTTTGTCAATAAAGGCAACAGGTTTTTAAATAATTTAAATCAAAAGCATCGTTTTCTCAAGAACTATCATTTTTTGCGCATTTAGCTCCTTATCTCTAAAATGCTTGGATCTTTGCAAAAACTGATCACTTATCAATTTTGATACATCATAATAATACTATGATTATTTTATCAAAAAGCAGACGAGTTAAATATATTTTTCAATCAGTGATTCTAAATTATTTATTTATTATCTATATTTTTACTCGGAAACTCTCTCCCGAAGTACTTACCAAAGAAACATCTTTCCACATGAAACTTTAAGCGCATTGCTTTGTTTTCAGTAGAGAACATCACTGTAAAACTTCTCTTAGTACAAAGTTGCAACTTTGGTGATTCTTGAGAACATAACTTCCGTAATTCTGGATAATTCACGGAAATTGAACCGTGTATAAGAAGGTATTTTCCTAAAATAAATTTTAGGTAATATCTTTATATTAATCTTTAGTTAATCGGTCAAAATCTCTTAAATTAATAGTTACATAACAACATAACTATCAATTTTAATATTACATATATAAGTGGTTGAAAGTGGCATTCTGTCTTAAGGCAAGTTGAATAAACTTTCCGAAATGTGTAATAATTGATTTAAACAACAGGAATTAAGATTTAGATATTTGGATAATATTTTTGATTGTCTGTTTCAAAAATAAAATTTAGCTTTCACTAAAAACATTGCTATTACCAATTGATATTTTGCAAGGACTTTTATAATATCTTTGATTATAGTGCACAAATACGTTTTTGTATGTCCTAAAAGTACTCCAAATTTTTTATTAATTTATATATTTCAACCAATTTTCGTAAGACTTTATAGTGCATTCGTTGTTAAATTAAATTATAAATTTCGTAGCATTTTTTATGAGAAACTTAATAAATTTATTTATGAAATATTGAGTCTAGTAAAATACGAACATAATTAAGTATTTATGTACGAGGTCCAAAATATTATTTAATTATTTAAATTATTGGTAATATTTTTTACACAGTACACTGCAGATACTGTGTAAATACAGATATAATGAACCTAATAGATAATTATTAATACATTTCTGTAAACAATGCACAAATCCATTAACTTTAGATTTTTTTTAGAGAACTGTTGCCAAAAAGCACTTTTTTGCTAATTCCTAAGAAATCTCCAAATTTATCAATTCAGCAATAATAATAGCCACAAATCAATTAATTATTAAATTTTTTTAATCGTTAGCCATTTACAAGAAAACCTGGATAAAAAATAAAAAAATCAGCTTACATTCACATATACATACATACTGTTACCGAATTTGGTCTCATTTGAAAGGTTGAAAAAAACATAAAATGCAAAACGGATGTTTTCATCATCAAAAACATCAAACAAGCAAACTTTTCATTCAGAATCTTAAAAAAATACTAGAAGTTAAGAATATTAAATTAAAAAAAATTCATTAATAATTGGATATGGATTACAAGTCACTCGGATTTGAACCCAGGACTAGTGATGACAAATTTGGCACATTCGAGAAAAACACTAGTAGCTCCTCAATGCTGAATATTTTTGTGAATTTATGACTTATGTTATGACTTAGCAAGATTTTCAAAAGCAACCGTTACATTTTCTTATAATATAACCTTGACGTCAACTCTCTCGTTACGTGTGACATTTCACAACCCTTGACATATTCTACATTTTTCATGTTTTTATCAATTTCAAGTGTAAGAAGTATACGTCTCTTCTGTGAAGTACATGAATCGTATATCATATTATTTTTCTGCTTGTTTTCCAGGGAACGTGTTTGTGATAGCGGCAATCTTGATCGAGCGCAACTTGCAGAACGTTGCCAACTATCTGATCCTGTCGCTCGCCGTCGCCGACCTGCTCGTCGCGTGCCTCGTCATGCCGCTAGGTAAGTGGTCTTATATTAAAAGATATAGAATCTTTTATAATATGTATCTTATACTATATCTAATATTATGTTTTGGGGTACAATTTTAAAACCAGTTTGTGTAAATAAATATTTGAAATCTGAATAAATTTTGTACAGATTCAACAATTATACATTAATCAATCATTCGTGTGGTTGTGCAGCATAGACTATTTTTATGCTGAATGGATTTCACTGATTACTGACACTTTTCTTTTTCGAATGATGAGAAAGAATAGTGCGGGGCTTAAAGGTCCACGGGCAAAAAGGTCTACCACTGATATCTTCAAAACCGTTTTTCTTATATAAACTTTATAAAAGCTGTCACTTAAGGTAGGGTGAAAAGGCCCAAGTGAAAATTTACCCTGGCAAAGGAGTAAACTAAGAGGGGCATGTAAAATATAAGGTTCCCACATTTTTTTCAGGGTTGAGGCATTTTTTATTGCAATAAATATGTATACCATCGGAAAGCTTGCATTTCAAACTATTTTTCTACATAGTCGCCAAATCTTTCAACGCATTTTTTCTGAAGAGTTTTCCACTTCTGAAAACCCGTTTCGAAGAACTCCGCCGCCACGCCCTTGCTCAGTCTTTTTCTCCGGCGATTTTGCATAGCTCTTTTAAGTTTCGTTAGCGTCTTGCAGCCCCTGTCCGAATTTATAAGGGACCCTTTAGGCATCTGTGAGCAAGACACCTTTTCGGTCCCAAAACACGATGGCCTCTCGCTCCTTTGCTCGTCGTGAACGTCTGTGCGTCCTTCGGAAAACTCTCTGCACCATTTGAGGACGTGCTGGACGCTGATGCAAGTTTTGTCTTAAACATCTTCCAACTGTCTATGAATTTCAGTAGGTAATTTTATACTCGTTATTCGAGAATAAAATAAAAAAACTTTATTTCTTAAAATTACAATAAAATATATAAAATAACTGAATTTTACAATATAATGATATAATGAATTATAATTATATAACTGGACTGGTGTAAGTACTGGCAAAGATTATCCTCCGCGAATGTAGAGATCTTGCTACTTATATAGTTAAAAATATGCTTTATCAGCAAGGAGGATCTTGTGGCTAGATATAAGCTATGTCAGCGGGATGGATCCCGTAACTCCTCCGGCCCTAGATGAAAAACCTCGGGGTGCAGGTTGGTGGTTGTGGTTGGTTGTGGCTCTCTTGTTCTTGGGGTGTCTCTACTTCTGGAGTAATTTGTAATTTCTTTTGTTGTATCTTTGTCTGCAATACTTGAACAGGATATAAATAATAATAATAGTTATAAATATTATATACATGATAATTGACACGATGCTGTTGTTGTTAATTCCAGTCTTCCTTGCATAGAGTTTATGAATTTGTTCTTGATCTTCTTTAATTTTAGATAGCTCATTTACTTGAATTGACTTGATTGCAATTGGTTCGGATGATTTTGAAATGTTGTAGTTGAAATTAAATCTTGGTAAAATAATTGCTTTTCCTTCTATAGACGACTCTTGATTGTAATAGTTTTTCTTGTCAATGCTGAATTTACATAAGTGTGGGAGTTTTAAAAGAAAAATTCCTTTAATAAACTTAGTTTTTTCTTGATGATTGCAAATCATATCGATTCTTGATTGTGTGCTTAGTAAAAGAATATAGTGTGCGTTATTTATTTTCTCTATAATATTGTGTGTAATGTTGACTTGAATTTCATTGCATGTTTTGATGTGAGTGTTATCTAGTTGTAATAATTTTATGATACATTCTTCGTCGTTTGATAATATGTGTCTAATGTTGCAAAAATATTTTTCTGAAACTTCTTTGCAATTTGTATCGTCAAATTGATAGTTATTATTGCCAAATGTAAGGAAAGGTTTTGGTGGAATAATGACTCTATTTTCTGTATTTGGAATTGGGTATAATTTATAGTGTTTAAAGGTTTCAGGTAAAGTGATTGGAAATTTGATAAGAAAAACAATTTTTTCGTCTGTGTAATAATATTGAATATTAAGTAAATTATAATATTTGTGAAGATTACTATCGTCTATGGGAAATGGTAATGATTCTACATTGTATAAATTCTTTACAGTATTAATCATAAAATTCAAATCATCTAATTTAATTACTGAGTTATGAACTAAATTCATCTTAGCTAAATCTAATGATATTTCTAAATCGTTTAAAATATTTGTTAAAATAACTAAACTATAATTAATTTGTTCTAAACTATCTTTAGCTATAAAATATTCATTATGACTAAAACTACCGAATTTTAGATAATCATTGATATCATTCAATTTCTTATTTAATATTACATCATTTTCTCTAATATTAATAATTGTTTCATTAAAATATTCAATTAACTTATTATTTAATGTCATTTGTTTATTCAATGTTTTTGCATAAATTTCATCGTTAGTTTCTAATATACGTATAGCGTCATCGTACTTTTTGGCATCTTGTGCATCTAAATTCCCTGTAATTTCCTTAATTATGCTACCTAGTCCGTTAATAAGTCCTCTTTTAATTCTTCTAACCGGTCTAATAATATTATATTTATCTTTAATAACATTAATCATAGTATTTGTCAAAGAAATGTATGAATCTAATCTTCTCAAATAATCGTTATGTTTATTATTTAAAATAGATAAAAGTGTATCAAAGTCTGTAACCAAATTAGTAATCTGTTGTTTAATCAAATCTGTATTAACATAATGAATAAAAATATGATATTTTTCGATTAACTTTGCATTTCCTAATTCAAAAGGTAAAATTCCAGTTGTATTTAATTCTTGAAGAAAAATTTGATCACTGTTTGCTGCTAGTACTAGGTGTAATATTATTAGTTGAAACAACAACATCTTGTTCACGTGGGATTTGCTGAGTATTAGTTTTTGGACGTTTGAGTTCTTGTTTGTGTATCGTAATATTCTTGTCAGTAAGAATTGTATTTCCTAGATCTTTCTGTACTTGTATCTGTTTGTAACGTGAAGCGGTTTTGTCTCGCGGGTTTGATTTTAAATATGCACGTGTGTTTTCGTCGTATTGCAAAGGATCATGTCTTGTTTCGTTATGTTTCGATATTGTTTTGTCTTTGTTGCTATAATTCTTTTCAAAAATTTTCTCATACATTAACTTTGTTCGTTGTTTGTGGTCTTCTAAATAATTTGTAAGAATTTCTGTTTCTATGTCTATGTCAAAAGGAGATCTCGTAGAGAGATGACCTGAAATAATGTCAAATGGTTTTAATTTTGTCACTGAATGTATAGAACTATTATAACCATTAATAGCATAAGGGATAATGTCAAGAATACTAAGAATATTATTTTCGCGTTTGAGAATACGTATATGTTCTAGAATAGTAGAATGAAATCGTTCAATAGGTCCATTTGAATTTGGATGTAAAGGAGTTATGTAGTGGATATTAATTTTATGCATTTTCAAATATTCTTGTAAGGCAGAAGATTTTAGATCAGGACCATTGTCCATAATTAAAGTATCAGGAACACCAAAATGAGAAATAAATAACATTAGAACTCTAATTATATTTTGCGTTATATTAGAAGCAATAGGATATGCCTGGGCATATTTAGAAAATGTATCAATGATTGTGACAAGTTTTTGTTTACTAATTGTAAGAAAGTCTAAATGTAAAATTTGAAATGGTTTCGAAGCTGTAGGGGAAATAGAAAATTTTTGTTTTGGTGGATTTCTGTCGTATTTTTCAGTAGAACATAATGTACAATTATTAATATAAGTAGTAATATCATTACGAATTGTTGGCCAATAATATTTTTGTCTAATACGCGATTCGTTCTCGTTAATTCCTCGATGGTTAGAACAATCTTCGTGAATTGTTTTTACTATTAATTTTTGTTTATTTACATCAATAATATCTTCTTTAAAATCATTACATATAACTAATTTAAATGCTGAATACGTGAAAGTAGAAGTTAAAATGTTTGTAATGTCAGCAATATATTCGCTATCGTTGACATACAACGCAAAAGATTTATTACTAGTGGTATATTCTTTAAAATATTTTCATTAATTTATTCTCTATATTATGGTAACAATTGTTATTACCTACTCTATTTTATTAGTTAGTTTGTTTGAGTTAATTGGATACCATATGCATTGATACCAATTTCTCTCAATTTGCGATAATAAAACATTCAATTGATATTTATATATGATAAAAATATAATTAATCAAATTTATGTTAAAATGATATTATATATTTTCGTAGCTTAATTTTGAGTTCAAAATTGAAAAGCATTCTTATAATTCCATTATCATAAAAATTATGTTTCATAATAATATTGAATATTCAAGATTCAAAATATAATATCAAAATATAATAATAAATGAAATGGATGAATAGCAACGTAATCATGTTCATTGACTTCGTTATCTAATTCATTACGCAGCATTGAAAATTATTTAATTTATTTCTATTAATTAACGTAATATAATAAAATATAATATTTTTAAATTTATTTGAAGTACTATTAAAACTAACTAAAATTTGTCAATATTTTTTGTATCGTGAAACCTTAGGCGTGATTCGAGAGTCATCAATTTATTCCTACCGGTGAAAATTAAATGAATCATTTTTTCCTATACTTATAATTTCTGAAATTTGAAATCATATTATGCGATTTATTTGGAGAAACAACATTCGGTGAAAATAATGTATTACATTTAGGCACTATTCGATCTGACTTGTGCTTTACTATGTGACGGTAAATGTTTGGGTATCTATAAAATTTGGAGTGGACAGGTATAGTGGCATTTTTCTCTTCAAAATTTGAGTGGTCTGTCTGTATTAAATTTTCAGTATGTGGGAAATCTACATGTGAATCAGGTTTGTTTGTAGAAAAACTATAAGATTTTGTTTCTAAAGGTTTAGTGTATGTTAAGTTAATTTCATTTTCTGTTAGGTTATGAATTTCAACTATGGCTTCATTATTTTTTGCTAATGTTACGGTATCTGGAATGAAATGA